GTGTGTGTGTGTGTGTGTGTGTGTGTGTGTGTGTGTGTGTTGGTAGCAGTGAAAGCACTCTGTTTTTAAAACGTCAACAATACCACAGTTTGTTGTTTTCCTCCTCTCCCAGGCTCACATGACATGACCTTGGCGCCTGCACTGCTTTCACTCCGCCTCAGCCTCCGGGAACAGCAGCGGGTTCCAGGGCCCTCTGAAAAGTGAGAGTCGCCAGAGATGGCCTTCTGCAGGTCAGGCAAAGTCCGTCTAGCTGGGTGGAGCCTGAGGATCTTGGGAGCTGACCACTGTGCTTCAGCTTAAAATTGAGAGCCAGGGAAGTTCTTCAGAACCCGTGGAGGAGCTCTGGGCTTCGCTCTAGGTCGCCTCGTCCACCTCTTTCTGCCTTCTTGGTAGGGGGTTTGCAGCTGGAGAAGGTGGCATTTGTATGTTCGATAGATCCTGATTGGAAGGGATAAGGAAAGGATCTGGCTGGCCTTCTATCGGCCCGCCCCGGGTCATCTCTGAGTAGCCCGGTTGCCACAGCCGCAGTTCTGCAGCCTTCGCTGATTGTGGTGCTACCTTCCCCAGTCTCTAGATTCAAAGTTCTCAGCACGATTCATGGCTGCGTTGAGCTGCACGAGGCTGAGGTGGGCGCTCTTGGGCACGCGGGTGCTGGGCCGTGGCCTCTGGCCACAGGGAACCAGAGCCAAGGCCGCGATCCCGGCCGCCCTCCGGACAGACGAGAATACGGAGGGTCGTGGAACAGGTCAGGACCGGCCGCTGCGGAGTTCGGAGGAGCTTCCGGGCCTCGGATCGCTGCACTTTTTATACCAGCTATTCCTACGAGGTTATGCGCTGCGCTTGCACGAACTCCAGGTAACCTGGCAGCGGCATCACCACCCGGGGCTGGGCACTGGGACATGGGAGAGAAGTGGGATAAACAATAAACGATACAGGAACTTTAGCTCGCTGCTGTCTGAGGCTTCAGCCGTAAGGGTGTGCAAGGTGCAGACAGAACCCTTCGAAATAAAACAGGCGATGAGTGTCAGGGATCAGGAGAGCAGCGGTGGACTCAAGCTAGGAGAACTGCCCAATCTTACTGCAGAGATGCTGTCTCTTCCTACTTCTTCCAAAGGAGTTAGCTTTGGGAGCTTGTTTGCAGTCTGCAGGACACATTTCTCCACGGGGGGTGGGGGGTGGAGGGTGGATTACTTCTCAGGAAGTGAAAGAAAAAGCTTACGGAGAAGTGGATTAATTCCATCTTCTACCCTGCCTGGCTGGGAGGAGGGTGAGAATGAGGGGCAGAGAAAATGAGTAAGGCTTCGATGCACAGCAGCCAGGCGAGCTATCCCTGTCAGGCTCAGGAGGTATTAAGAGATGGTTTAAAAAAAAAAAAAAAAATCATTCTCTGGGACCGGAGAGATGGCTCAGGGGTCAAGGGTACATCTCTCTTTTTCAAAGGACCTGAGTTGTTCCAGTCCCAGTTTACAACCGTCCAAGAGAATCTGATGTCTCTGGCCTGTCAGGGCACCCGCACTCATGAGCACACAGCTCCTCACACACATATGCACAATTAAAAATAATACAAATCTTAAAAAAAAAAAAAAAAGAAAGAATTCGGGCATGGTAGCACAACACACATCTTTAATCCCAGAGCTCAGGAGGGGGAGGCATTAGAATCTCTATAGATTCCAGGCCACCCAGTGCTACATAGTGTTGTGTGTGTGTGAGAGAGACAGAGACAGAGACATGAGAGAGAGACAGAAAGAGAGAGAGAGAGAGAGAGACAGAAACAGACAGACAGACAGACAGAGAGCAGACCAGACTCAGTACCTCTAAGCAGAGAAACAAAGGGGCTGAAAAGTCCTTTTGCTTGATTTCAGCCTCCAGAAACTGAGAGGTCCGGGGAATGCCTAGGGGTTAGGGACTGAAGCTTTCTCAGGAGGAGTTGCTCAAGATGTAATTCTAGATGGCTTAACGAAGATACCGAGGAAGCGAAATCATAAATATTACGGAGTTTCGTTTGCTTTTGTTTTGTTAAGACAATGCTCTTAGCTCTTCCTCCTGCCTCAGTCTGCCAAGTGCTGGGATTATGTGTATGCACCATCATGCCCCAAAGAGAGATTTTTTTTTTTTTTTTAGTTAAGATTTATTTTTATTTCTGTGTATGTGTTTGAATGTTTGTGTCTGTTTGTCTGCCTGCCTGCCTACCTGTCTGAAGAGGCCAGAGGAGGATCTTTTGGAGCTGGAGTTACAGACAGTTTATGGGTACTGGAGACCAGTCTCGGGTCCTGTGCTAGGGAACTTAACCGCTGTTCCATACCCCCAGCGCCATGAAAGGTCTTTTAAAAGAGTGCAGATGGCTGAAGTTTTAGGAGAACTCTAAACACCTCTTAAACTCTGAGCCGTCCCATGAGAAATATTTCTTAAACTTTTTTTTAAACTTATTTTTATGGGGCTGGAGAGGTGGCTCAGAGGTTAAGAGCCCTGGGTGCTCTTCCAAAGGTCCTGAGTTCAATTCCCAGTAACCACATGGTGGCTCACAACCATCTATAATGAGATCTGGTGTCCTCTTTCTGGTGTGCAGGCAGGACATTGCATACATAATAAATAAATCTTTAAAACAAACAAAATTTATTTTTATGTTGTGCATGGTGGTGCACACCTTTAACTTACCACTTGGGGAGGCAGAGGCAGGCAGATCTCTATGAGTTCAAGGCCAGCCTGGTGTACAATTCGAGTCCAGGACATCCAAGACTACACTGAGAAACTCTGTCCCCAAACCCCTCCCCACCAAAATATTTTTATGTACATTTGGTGTTTGGATTACGTACATGTCTGTGTGAATTTGAGTTGCAGACACTTGTGAGCTGCCCTGTGGGTACTAGGAATTGACGTAGGGTCCTTTGGAAGAACAGTCAATGCTCTTAACCACGCTGAGCCCTCTCTCCAGGCCCCATGAGAAATATATTGATCTTCACTTTATGTGCTTGTGGTTGGTGTGAGTTAGCATGTCCATAAAACCCAGCAACAGCATTATTGAGGAAGGCTGTGTTTCTATAACCTGCTTTGTATCAGTTAGAATTGGCTTGTCATTTAAACTGTCATAAACGCTAAGATGGAGAACCCTTATAGTTGAGTGTCCTTTGGGTGTGGTCTGCTCCCAGAATTTAGGCTGTTTTGTTTAACTAGAACACAGTGCTGGAGAGTGAATATATTGTAATGAAAAGGTTTATTTCGTTCACAATTTTGGAAATTGAAAGCCCAAATAGGTGGTTCCATTTAGCTAGTCTCTGATGGAGGGCTTTTTACTCTACGTATCATGGTGGATGACATCTCATGGCACAAGCTAGCCTGTGATGTAGAAGAGAGAGGTCACATGGTAAGAGAGGAACTGAGTATGTGGGAAGAAACAGGCTTGCATCTTTATAACAGCCTGTTTTGTGAGAATTAATTTGATCTTGGGAGCCCGGAATGGGTATAGCCCCAGCTCCTTCTTTTAGGCTCTACCTCTTAGAGGTCCCAGACCCTTTCATTACTGAAAGGGGGATCAAGCCTTCAACATACACACACCTTTGAGACAGAAAGACCACATCCAAACCATAGCATGCTACCCCAACACTCCAATTTCATATTCTCCTCCCAAGGCAAAATGCTTTCATTTGTGCCAATAGTCCCCAAAATAGTGTTTGAGCACCAGTCAAAAGTCTAGAGTCTGGGTTGTGCATGCCAGGAATCCTAGCACTTGGTGAAGCAGAGGCAGGTAGATCTCTGTGAGTTCGAGGCCAGCCTGGCATACAAAAGCAAGCCCAGGACAGCAAATGCTACACAGAGAAACCCTGTTTTAAAAAAAACTAAAGTCTACAGTCTGATCTAACACTCAAGACGACTCCTTTCTGCTATTAGCCTGTAAAGTCAAAAACTTACCTGTATCCAGCAGACAACAGGGGAATGGGATAGAAGGGAAATGGGTCAAAAGAGAGAGATCACAGAGCCCTGTAAAACTGAAACCCATCAGTGTGGGTGTGCACTAAAGCCCCAAGTCCTGCATCCTGTGCACACTGGGTTGGGGATGGTCCCCCAAATCTTAAGCAGCCTGGCCTGCTGGGCTTCTCCTGGGGTCCCGGTTATGGCTCCACTAGACCTTTAAATGAAGACTCTGTGGTGCCTGTGCCCCTCTGCCAAACTCCTGCCTAACTACCTAGGCTTGTTTTTTGTATATATGTTTGCTTTAAGGTACAAGATGGTTTTTTTTTTTTTTGCATTTATTTTGTGTGTGTGTGTATACAAGTGTACACAGGCATGAGCATGACATGACAGGTGCCCAGAGAACAACTTACAGCTTTCTCCTACCATGTGAGTTCCAGGTATCTAACTCAGGTTATTGAGCTTTGCAGCAAGCGCCCTAACTCACTGGCCAAGTTGCCAGAACGCCTCACCTTTCTCTTCCCCACCTCCTCCTCCTAGCTCTAACACTCTGAACCACAGTGGTTCATTGAAGGAGGAGAGTAGGGCTGGGAATGAAACCTGGACCTTCTGTAGGTCGGGCAAGCTCTGTACCCTCCTCTTTTCTTCTTTTGTATATGTGGGGGGTTGAGACAAGAGGCTTACTAAGTAGACTGGGCTTGTTGCTACTGCCTCTGCCTTGAGTATGCTAGGATTATGTATACCATTACACTCAACAGCTCTTGTCTCTTAATGATAAATCCTGCCTTTAGGTCATCATCGCTGCTTCCGAATCTTAGTAAGCATGCTTTAAAACACACCCAAAAAGCTCTTCTGTATATTTCCTTAGAAGTTGCTTTCAAATGCCCTAAGTCATCACCCTTAAATTTGGCCTTCCACAAACCCTGGGGCAGGAAGGCAATGCAGCTAAATTCTTTGTCGCTTTGTGAGAAGGTGGACCTATTCTTATTTGTACCTGTGACTTCGTCGGCGTAGCCTTTACGGTGCACCTTCTTTGTTGTTGTTGTTGCTGTCTTGTTTTCCTTTTTCAAGACAGGACAGCCCTAGCTGTCCGGGTACTTGCTCTTAGACCAGGATGACCTCTGACTCACAGAGATCTGCTTGCCTCTGCCTCCCTGGTGCCAGGACGAAAGACGTGTGCTACCACCACCCGGCACTTGTGCACATTCTTAAACATGTTCTGGTCATTGCTGTTTATCCCGTCTCTGAGAAGGCATGGATCCTTCCACAGCTACCTAGAACGCCTTATTTAAAGCCATGCAGACCTCCCCTAGTCTGGTCCTCCAAACCCTCCCAACCGCTGCCACTTGTCTGGCTCCAACACCACTTCCATATCCTAGGCCCCGGTGTCTAGGATACCATCACAAAACACTTCCGCACCACAGTAGAAGTTCCCGTCTGCATCTGTTCTGCGCTAAGACAAAGCTTCTGAGGCCCAGCGTCTCTAGCTAGCCTGGTCGTGAATCCCCTGTCTCCACCCTTCAAGGTTCTCACTACAGATGGGCCTCTGAATCTTCTCAGCATTTATGTGAGATCTGGGGGGCCGGACTCTGTGCTTTAGCCACTACCATAAGACCAGCCCCTGCTGTAACTTTTTAACACCATGACATTGGGTCCCAGGCTTCCAGCTCATTAACCTTTGGGGGAATAAAACCTGTCGGCATCGAGATCCATGGGGTCATAAAAGTTGCCATTTTGCTCTCCTTGCCGTGTCTTGGCTCTGCTGTGTTGCAGAAGCTGGTTGAAAGCGTTGGTGTAAGTAAATTGCCTCGCCCTCGGCCTATCATATGGGTCAGGCAGAGGGTGCTTTGGCCCAGGTAGCCTCACCCCTAAAGCCCGACTTGGGGTCCCTCCTACCCAAACAGGGTGACTGTCACACAAAGGGGGAAGCCAGCCAAGCACAACACCAG